CAAAGTGTGAAAGAACAGCCTGCCTTCTAAAATCCATGGAGAACACACATTCTCAATGAAGTTAGATTTTTTATTCATCTTTCAAGGGTTGCTTTAAATTTTGTATGCAGTTTGAAAAAAGATCATTTTAATGTAAGGTTCTCTTTAACAACACTTTCTTAGAAACATAACTGTTTAGGATAAAATGGTAAAAAACATGATACTTTTCTGGTACATTTACTTTGAAGTACGTTTCTCATTTTATATGTGACAACAGTTATATGTAACTGTCATCACAGAGAATGTCATGATACCCAGTGAAAACTAGGCAGCTATCTGTTAATTGTCATGATGCAGACATTTCTTTTTATCATTTTATTTAAAATGATCTTTTAATAACTTTACTGTTAATGCTTCACTGTCTCCATAGTTCCCAACATTTCTTGTTTTCCATGCAGCTATTAGCTATAAGGTAGTGACTAATTCAGTAAAAGCTCTCAGATGCTGCCAGCAAGACTATTTCATGCACCTAGAAGAACAGTTTTTCTCATCCCATTTTTACAACCACCACCTATCTTACCATTCTCTGAAACAACATTCACAGCCATTGTTGTTATATCTTGAATGCAGGCAGTTTGAAATCCTTCACTAGGAGGAGTGCCGTAGGTACTGAGTCCAGTTGCTGTATTGATGTACACCGTCTTACCCGATAAAGCATCAAAATCTTGGAGCCAGACAGAACATGAATCATTCCTGGGATTGCCTGTGCATGTGTTGTCAGCAGAGAATTCCAAGTTCCTTTGTAAGGTCACATGGGGAACCACAGTATCTTTCATATTTTGTTCTGAGGATTCACCCAACATACTTTTATCTTTACAGATGATGTTAGTACAATCATTTTTAGCAGGTAATGATAAAACTGAAGAGACTGTGTACTCTCCTTCTATACTGCTGAGAGGTGATGAGCTGACAGGACTCTTCACAGACTCTGCTATCACACCATCTGATTGCGAGCACACAGCCTCCTTAGAAATGCTGGACTTACACTCCCTCATTTTTTCCACTGAGGGTTTATATGTTTGACAAACGTTATACAAAAAATCATTATTTGAGGATTCACAATCGAAAGAATGGTTATCTTTTCTATTTGAGTCTGTTTGGAACTGCTCACCACGTCGTTCTACTTCTTTGTGATCAGTTTTCATTCTGGACAGTTTGGATGATAATGATCCTGGAGATCTTTGACAACTTGTAGTTTTGTTACTAACCAGAGAGTAATCAGACAATGTCAAAGGACTCTGACAAAGGGCTCGTTTGTCCTGTGACACTTCTCCACTGCAAAATAAAGTCTTTTCCAAGGAACCAAAACCTTGGTTAATATTAGAATCTGTATCTTCTGCAGGTGGAGTTTCACAACTGCCGAAGTTATCATGATAGCCATTCCCATTCTTTGAAAAGTCACAGCTAGTTTCTGAATTAAGAACTGGGAGACCACATTCATTTCGCTCTGACGTGGGTGTTGGTAGCATAGACTTAACTCTCCCATAATACCTCCTGAACTTTTCTAATGATCCCAGCTGTGTGGACAAGCCCAGCTTCTTAGAGGGCTGCGATCTTGGCACAACTATCTGTCTTCTAGTGTTTTTGATAACAATTTTCTTGCGAGGAATACCTGAAGGAGTTGCCAGCAGCAATTCCGTACTGTTTGATGTTTCATAAGGTCGTTTATTGGTAGCAGTGCCCATAGCTATCTCCTCCCTCACCCGATGTGACAAAGGTTTGTTCTCATGACCAGCAGTCTTGCATACTTCTCTAGTAAGAGAAGCTGCATATTCTTTATTACTATTACTGGAAATATCCTTAGCATTTGAAGACTGAATCACAACATTCACTTTGTGGTCAGAAATATCCTTGGCACTGACAGGGCCAGGCCTACACTGTGTGTTTATTGCAAGATTTGTTTCTGTTTGTTCACAGTCATGTGGGGACTCATTTTGCATAACACTTTTTATGAGGTCTGTAAGGCACAGCTTTAAGGGTATTGAACTAACAGCCCCTCTTCTGGCATCACCTATCACTTCAGCTGTTGCCCTGTTTCTTCTTGCATTACACAGTCTCATTAATGAACTTCCAGAGACAGTTTCAGGTCCCACTGCTGTTTCAGTGGGGTCTTCTCTCTCAAGCAGTGACTGAATAACATCCTTATTTAAGACAAGAACCTTATTGCTTTCCTGTGTTACTTGACCTTGCCGGCTGCCCACATTTTTTATATTATTCTCTGCACAATCCCCTAGGTCACCACAACCATCTATTTCTCTTATTTCCGATCTGGCCCCTCCACTGAAAGAGGAACAAAGATGTTCTGAAGGTTTCAGACGCATATCAGGTACTTTTTGGGAACTGCTAGTGTGTTTTCGATCCTGTTCTGAGGTATTTGATTTAATTAAATCAGAACCTGTGTCATCTTTGCTTGGCAATGGAGTCTCTGCTTTATTGTTTCTACATGGATCAGATGATTCAGCAGTGTTCTGAACTGGAGCATTTTTAGTTTCCTGTACATTTTTACTTGACTCTATAAGATCTGAACTTTTTTTCCTAGTAATGGATTTCCTCTTGACATCTTTTGATTGCAAGCTACGTATTTCATAAGAATCCACAATTTCATTACATGCTTTCTTAAAACTTTCTTGGATGCTCTTCTCGTCAAGAATTGAAGGCTTCAGAACTGGAGCATTATGCAAACAAAAGTCATTATGTTCACTAAACTCTCTGATGTCCTCACTACTTGGTTCAATAAATAAATGCTCTCGTTTCAAAAATATTTTCACTCCTTCTTCTATGCAAGTAAGAAGAACATCCCAGTTCTGGAACTCAATCAGAGTCTTTGCAGGTTCCAGGCACACATCATAGTCACTGTATGCACAGGTTACATTGAGAATAAAGATCCCATACAACTCTGGCCCACAGCGATGGCGACCGGGACTTGAATTAGCCTGTCGGCTTGCAGGGACACTCTTTGCCTTGCAAATTACGCTTTCTTTTCTTAATAAAAAATCAATTAGTTTATGTAGTCTTGTCTTTAAAACAAGCCTCCTGTTCACATACAAGAACTGCATATTCTTATTGTAATGTCCCTCAGTACTGATAAAACCACTTATCTCAAATCCCCCAGACTTGTGGTTTATTTCTCGCAACTTCTGGGATCTGCCCAGTCCATAAATTTGACAAAACCGAGAGTATACGTCTCTTGTCTTAGGCAGCTGAAGCACCATAGAACAAGAAACATCGTTTCTTAAAGAAAGAGAAACAGAAGGATGCATTAGCGAAACAGCCTCTACCTTCTGTCTCACTCTCTCAATTTCCAGCACAGGATCCATGCACTTTCTCCTCACTGGTAACTGATGGAACAGATTGCACACGGTGACTGTGGTTCCGCCACTTGGTCTGTTCAATTCAGCTTCACACACTTCCAGTGCTTGCCCATTGTGAAACAGTTTCATAAACGTTTTTGCTGTCCTGCTGGTCTTAGATGAGATTTCCACTACACTGGCCATGTTGGCTATACTTGCCAAAGCCTCTCCTCTGAAGCCATAGAAAGTCAGGTTCTCCAAGTCTCTCACTGAGCTGCATTTGCTGGTGAAGTAGCGCTTTCCAACAGCCTTTAGGTCCTCTTTCCCCATCCCAGAGCCATTGTCCACCACCTGGATCTTAAAAGCTTCCAGATCCACCCTGACAGCTACACATGTTGCTTTGGCATCGATGCTATTGAGGACAAGCTCCTCGACACAGTGTCCGAGTGAGTTGACAGTGACTCCAGAACGCAGCCTGGCTCGCACATCTTCCACCAAACGTTTGATCATGTCAAAATCTGATGGATGAGAACCACGAGAAACTGCAGGGAGCTCACTGCTCCATGTTCCTTAAAACACAGAGAGACAAGGGGGAAAAATTAAATAAATACAAATTAAAGACCTGAAAAGACTGATTTATTTCAGTCACCCTCATAAATACACTTTTCTTAGCTTTCTTGGCATTCAGAGGCTTTTTCTGTGATTATTTAATGCTCATGCTCTGACTACACATTGTCAGTGCCTTCAGGGTAGATGGCCAGAGCCTGAGCCTCAGCTCCTTACTAACAACATGCTGTGTTTTCAAACTTAGCATATCCAAATCACACTCCTACCATGTGAAGCAAAACTCAAAGGACCTGCAAGCCAAAGGTTTCTACTGCAATTTTCATCAGAATTATAGAGTAAAGATCACCAAGAACTGGGCGGAAAGCTGCTTTTCTCCTGTTTTTACATCCCCACCAAAAACTGACAGTCCTGATCAAATAGTATCTGCTGCTACTTATCCAGGAAAGGAGCAAAGCAGGCTTGGCAATGGGTGACAGGCACAAAGAGCAAGCTGTTTATGCGTAAGAGAACCCACTGTTTTCAAGTCCTTGGCTCCTACTGGTTTCCTAGTGGCATTCAAGGGGCCTGCTAGCCGTGCCGGAGGATCCGGTGCCGCCGCTGTGACAGGTCGCCCGAGGCTCCCTAGCCCCGGGGCTGAGGAGGGCAGCGCGGACCCGCGGCTCAGCTCGCCACCACACGCTGTCCGTGCCCTCCCCTCACAACCGGAGCGCTCTCTGCTTCCTCTTCCCGGCCGCCCCGGGCCCCGCGTCCCGCCCTCGGCCCCTCAGCGCCCACCGGGCCGGCCGGCCCCGCAACGGCCGCGGCGCGAGACGGCCGGGGCCGGGCCGCCGGGCTCCTCCCGCGGGGCGACGGCGCGTGCGCAGCCGCGAGCGCACGGGGCCCGGCTAAGAGCACGCCGGGAGTTGTAGTTCCCACCCCACCGAGCCCGAAGAGGCCGGGAAAGGCGGGAGCTCGGCCCGGCTGCGGGAAGCACGGCTTCCCCCCGGCCACTCCCGCACAGCGGCACCGAGAGCGGAGGGAGAAGGGCAGCTTTGGCAACAAGATCCCGCTCCGAGGCCGTCATCCACTCAGCCCCTCCATCCGACATCCATTCCACACAGGAGGCGAAATCCAAGCAATTTTATTCTACAGAAAATATCAACTTCTGGGATAAAATAGTTTCTGAGACATTTAGTACACAGAAATAATGTTTTTAATTATGTTTTCTAGCGGCACTGACCCTCTGATTTCCTTCACATGAGCACCGCACTCTACCAGTTTCAGACTTATCTTATGTACAACTCCCAAAAGCACATACACTTGTAAACAGAGGTTCTGGCCCTGAACAGCCCCTTTATCAGAGACAACATAGCTTTTCCTCTACCCGCTGGAATTCTGTGAACAGCTGAGCATCAAACTAACAAAACAATAAATTAGAAATTTAATAAAATAAAGTTCTCTAGAGCTGAACATTGGCTGACTGAATGAGTGAGGAAGAGAGGCAATGTTCCGTGAAGGCAGCTCATGCTCCAGACTGCTTCTTCCTGGACAAAGTCACTTCAAAATCTGGAATTCCTTGTGCTCCAGCGCCTCGATCTTCTTCTCATTGCTGAACTCTGCTCGGCTGATACGGGACTGGGGACTTCCTATCTTCCTGAGCCATTCTTGCAGCTCCCGCACCCTGGCAGCTGGACCCTGGATTTGCCCTTGAACAGTGCCGTGGCTGGTATTTTGGACCCAGCCAACAAGCCCCAGTCTCTTAGCCTCTCCCTGAGAAGACAATGCAGAGCAAAATGAGGTTAATACAAACTATAAGAGAGCAACAGAACAACATTCACATACAGGACCCAATTTTGTTAGCAAGATACAGCCCCCCAAGGAAGTTCCTTTGGCTCAGGGCAACAGGAAAGCAGTAGAGGATTCACTCGACTACGCAATATTCTTTCACGCGAAAAACTGGGGCTGAAACTCTCTCTTCAGTCATGCTTACATAACGCGGTCGGGCTGCCAGCAGCACCGCGATGCCAGCCCCCTTCAGCAGCAGCAGCAGCAGCCGGAGCCCAGCCCTAGGCCGCGGCTCGGCCCCGCCAACGCGCCGCAGGGGGCTGACAGGGGGCGCGGCGCACGCCGGCAGGCAGGCAGGGCAGCCCGCCCCCGGGGACCGCGGCACGCACCTGGGTGTACTTGCGGAAGAACACGCCTTGCACCTTGCCGTACACCTCGTAGTCCACGGACACCAAGCCCTCGACGTCCGCCATGGCGGCACCGCCGCCGCCTCCCGCTTCTCCGGCCGCTGCAGCGCCGCGCGCCCCGCCGCGCCTGCGCCGCCTGGCGGGCGCCGGGGGCGTGGCCTCCGTTCCGCGGCCAATGAAGAGCCGCAGCGGGGTCGGTCCCTCATTCGCCGCCTCATGAATAATGCACATCCGAGCGCCTCACGAATAATGCATGTCGGACCGCCTCATGAATAATGCATCAGGGCCGCCTCATGAATAATGCATGTAGGACCGCCTCATGAATAATGCATCAGGGCCGCCCACGGGTGCCGCGCTCGTGCCGCGTTGGAACGGCCGCGCGGCCGGGAGCGATCCAGGGGCGCGCGCCGGCCGGAGCGGCGCCGGTCTCCCGGCAACAGCCGCCAGCAGCGCCAGGACGGCGCGGCGGACTCAGCCTCGCGGCGGGCACAGCTCCGCGCCGGGGCCCCGGGAGCCGCGGGCAGCGGCAGCAGGGTCGGGTCTCGGGCCGTAAGCGCGGCGTGCGGCGACGCAGCTTGCCGAGGAGGGAGGCCGGCGGAGCGCCGGGCGCAGCCCCGCAGGTAATCCCGCTCGCCCCGCGGCGTGAGCACCCGACGCACTTCGGGGGATGTGGTGGAACGAGCCACAGGAAGATTGTGCCGAGCTTGGTGGGACTCCTGCATGTCAGATGTGTGTGACAGAGTGATGAATCACATTGCCAGAAGTGAAGGGACACGTTATGGGAAACTGCCTGGGGACTATAACAATTCCTCTGTCATTGCAGTATATTTCTGCTGCTACCACGGTAAGGCAGGGCTCAGACAGAAAGAGAAATAAAAGTGTGTCTTATTTCTGGCTACATAAACGGTTGGGACTAGAAGAGGCAGCATGGAAGCTCCCAAGATGGGAGGAATGTAAAGATTTACAGAAAGCAGAAAAGTTACCAAACCTTTACTAATACTTATTATAACCTCTGTCTGCAGTGCTCATGCATAAACTGCTAGGAGAAGATTTGTCCAGTTTGGATAAAATTGTTTGCAATGGCTTTGCTTCTAACCTCACGCTCTTTCTCAGGCATTGAATGGATTTTTTTCCACCGGTGGCTCCTGTGGTGGCAGCTACTAAGTTTTCTCCTGGTTCCCAGCTGAAATACCAGAAGGGCAACTTTCAGCACGGATTCATAATTGACAAAGAGGAAAGTTTAAAAGATCTCTATGCACAAAAGAACCAAAGATATTCCTATTCTATGTCTGCAGAAAGCACTCAGGACAAGCCCAGGCATGGAGGCTTCTGGTCAGGTGGACTAGAGAGCAAGTATCTCATCGGCCAGACTTGTACTCTGTCAGCTAAATCGTTAGGCAGACATAAAGAAGGAGTGGACCGTGCATATCCCCTGCAACCAATTTCTCACCACAAGAGTGCAAGTGATCCACTGCTCAGCACTGGAAGTTCCCCCCACGTGCAGGAAGCTCCAAATAGTAGATCAAGCTCAATAAACAAAGAGATGGCTCCAGCAGGGAGATCTCAGTTAGCTGCAGTGCTCTGCCCCTGGACACAAGAGCCTGAACCATCAGCTCCCCATCTATACAGGAGAGAGCTGGCCTACATCCTAAAGCTGGAGGCAGATAGAAGGAACCTAGAAGAGGCAATTCAAAAGAAAAAGGCCCTTCTTGGAGAGAAGCTAAAGAGGACAGAGGAGACACTTAGGAGGATTCAAAGAGAGAGGGATCTTATCAAAGTAGAGGAGAGAAGTGAAGTGGAGAGGACCTATGAGCAAAAGGCCACAAGGCACCCTGAAGAGAAAACTTTCAGAGCTGCAGACATGCCAGGTGTTGAGATCTTCAGCGGGGCACAGTCTGCAGAGGACACCATTCCCAAGTCTGGCACCACTCCCCACCCCCAAGAGCTGGCTGTGGGGAAACTCAAGGAGTGGCTGGTGGCCGCAAAACACAACAAAACAAACAGCAAAACACAAGACAACATATCCACGGAGCATTTAGCTTCTGGTTCAAAACTGGTCCCAAAGCAGAGCCTTTCTCCCTCCGCCCTCTCAGACCAAGATTCTGATGACCACCCATCTGCAGAGCTGCCACACATGGAGGCTGACGGTGCTGTGGAGCAGGAAGGCTTTGGACAGTGCAGCTTCTGCAGACGTAAGTTTCTCTGCACAAGGCTTGAGAAACACATGAGTATCTGTGGCAAGAACCAAGACTCCAAGAGGAAAGTGTTTGACTCTAGCAAGGCCAGAGCTAGGGGAACAGAACTGGAACAGTATCAGCAGCAGAAGAGCTCAAGGAGTCCTCAGGTAATGTGCAGTCCCTTTGCCTCCCTGGATCCACATCTACTGTTCACATTCCTTCCACTTCAACCTCTGACTGAGATGCAAGCACCTTCCCATGTACATGGGGCCAAGGGATACAATACAGCTATTGCCTCTGAAAGGTTCTTGCCAAATGGATAAATAGATCCATTTAAAATCTCATAGATGGAAGCAGGAGTCCTGAGTTGGCTTTATAACGTGTTAAGGGTGCACTACTGGAGAAAGCTCACTTCCTTGCTGTAGTTAGGATGCAGACTGGTTCTGCTGCAGTAAAACTCTGTGACATCAGGGGCTGCAGGGAGCTGACTGAAAAATCCAGATAATAGCAGAGTCTGTTAAAATGAAGGTAGTGGAAACATGCAGCTCTGTTCCTGCAAAGGAGATGTAGCAACCCTCTTTAGTTCCTTGGCCCTACTGCTTGCTTTTCTGGTTATCCTCAAGCTCTTTCTAAATACTGATGTTTCCATCAGTATTTCCTTTACATCCTCCTTTGTGCTGGTCTTTCTGATTCCCTCTGTGGGACTCAGCTTCTCAGGCTGGGTTTTACATCAACAGGGAATGCACAGGGACAGGAGACATGGGTTGGGCTCTGAGTGTAAGTTTGAGAATGGAGGCTGATGGTGGTCCCAGTTGCCCTGACTGCCTTTCCCTTCCGCAGAGTAAAACACCACCCAGAAAGAGCAACTGGAAACAGAAGCACGAGGCTCTCATCCACATCATGTCACAGGCCCGCCAGGCAGAGCAAATCCTCGCTAAGGGGAGGAAGGTGTCTGGCCTGCCCCCACTGCCTCCCATCGAAAATCCAGACTACGTTGCCTGCACCTACTGTGGACGCAAGTTTGCTCCCCGAGTAGCTGAGAGGCATATTCCCAAATGCAAAAACATAAGGAATAGGCCCCCACCTCCACCACAGAGGAGGCGTTGATGAGGCAAAGCTCAGCTGTATCTGCTGCTGTGATTCCCTGCCTGGTTTTTGCCAGATTCACAGTTAGACATTTGTGTTTTCTGTAGTCTCAACACTGGCTGCAAGCTTCTATGTACAGCAAGTGAACAGCTCAGGATGAATCAGCTGAAAAACAGAACTTGTATACTTTGACCTGCACCCTAGGTTGCCCAACAAAAGATGCCCCTTTCCTCAGCATAAGAAGCTCAGGATCAGAAATTCCAGGGATTAGAAAAGCTACCAATAGCAGGCACTTACTGTTTGGATCCTCATGTCAATTCATGTGCATAGAACAAGGACACTCTGAATCAGCCAGGCCCTTGAGGCAACAGAACAACCATCACAATCAGATTTAGTATTTTAAAAAATGGAATTTTCTTCCTGCAGGCCAAGTTGCTAGGAACCTCTAAAAGCAAAGCTTTCACCCTTTCTTAAGTCATCTGCTTATTTCATCTTGGTTGCTGCAATGGGAGGGAATTATGACAAAAACATATCCCTTCTTTTGTTTTCTTCTTGAGATGTTATTTTTCTAGATTGTGATTATTAAATGTATTAAACTAGTTCTCTTGTGTAAAAGTTATTTTAAATGGTCACAGAATGATCTGTGTTCTCACAGTACGAATGACTACTTTGTATGAGAAAGTTGCAACAAGCGAACAAGGAATAAAAAAGTTCCAGAAGCTCCTTTTGCAAGTCCTCTGGTAGCAATAGCAGCAGCTCATGGGAACCTAGAGAAAGATCTAAAGCAACTAGATTAAACTGGAATAGTCAGAAGCTGAATGTGACGAAATACTCCAGCCTTCAATGAGTGAACCTGACTCCTGAAAGAGGTTGGAGACCTTCTGTCCTATAGATACGTGAGCAGAAGTCTCAATCCCTTGGCAAAACATCCTGGAAAAGCATGAAGGTCCCAGAAAGGATCATTGCTGCACTGTGCCAGCCAACAATGGGTGTACAAACCTCAGACAAAAAGCAGACTCAAAAGAAGGGAAAATAATTTACTGTATCCAAACTGATTGGAGAAGCAAGACCAATGCTTTAACTTGAGGGTTTTGAAAACCAGGATAGCAAGAGGTAGGAAAGGGGTAAATTGAAACCTTTATGCCAGCCTCCTTGAATTCATGAAAGGAACAAGTGATTTGAACACACTAGTTAAAAAATTCAGCACCACTGCCTGTCTTCTAATATTAACTCTGTTTCCCTTGCACTACATTTTATTGACTATATTTAATGGACCCTAAAGGTCAGCAGTGTAAATGGTGACACATGGATACACACAAAAAAACATTTGATGCTGTAAAATAAACTCATGTGTTGGGGACTTCTCAAAACTGACAGGCAAATGGCTAACACTGAGACTGAAAAGATTGAAACTGTAGATTAAATAAAAGTTATTAAAATTAAATCACCAGGCTTCATTGTTACCTGTTTTGGAGCCAAGGCAGGCAGTTCACCCCTCTTTGCTATTGTTTCAGCATCCAGAGAGTCCCTGATAACTGGTTTAAAACGTAGTAACATGTCAGACAAAGTATCAAGGTCAGCACAGAGATTTAGGGCGCTGCTTTGCTACCATGGTTAGCTACCCTGTCACTACTCAAGCTGTGCTATTCATGACAGCTCAGCTTCCTTTTGCTCCTGCAGTACAATCCCCCTCTCAGAGACATGCTGCATTTTCAGCATCCAAATCTCTAGTGAATTTTAAATCTTTAACTCTCCTCTGCCTGTCAAAATATTTCACAATTTATAAAATTTCTGATAAAAGTGACAGGCTTTAAGGTACAGTGTGCAGGAAAGCTGGCTGAGCAGGTGGTGTCAGGCAGGTTCTCCCTTCTGTAG